CCCATACTCCTCCATTAAGCCCATAACCGTATTTATCCTTTCTAGAGGTTCTTCTATTGATATTACTAGGTCATCAGCGTAGGCCTTTACTTTATATTCTTTTCTGCCTATCTTAATCCCTCTCACTTCTGTTGTTCCTCTGATTTTATTTAGTATAACCTCCAGAACCATAATGAAGAGCAGGGGTGATAATGGGCATCCTTGCCTTGTACCTTTTGTAATCGTAAATGGATCTGTTAAGTTACTATTAATGATAAGTCTCGCCTTTTGGTCCGAGTAAATCGCTCTAATGCCTTCCAGGAATGGCCCTCTTATTCCTGCCCTCTCCATACATTTAAGGAGAAATTGCCAAGACACGTTATCAAACGCCTTTTCGGCGTCAATAAAGATTAAGGCGGCTGGGATATCGGTCTTGAGATCCAGATATTCGATTATGTTAACCACGTGCCTTACATTATCTTTTATCTGCCTACCAGGCAGGAATCCGGCTTGGTCCTTCTGGATTGTTCTTTTCAAATATTTTTTTAATCTATTTGCCATTATTCCTGCGAATATCTTATAGTCATTGTTAAGCAGCGATATTGGTCTGTAGTTTTTTATATTTTGCGTATCTGAATCCATTTTAGGTATTAGAGTGATATGTGCCTCTCTCCAGGAGTCCGGCATTTCCCCTCCTTGGAGGATGTTGTTAATTACATTACAGAGTACCGGAGTCAACTGTTCCTCTAGGGATTTATAATATTTTTGGGAGAGGCCATCTGGGCCGGGGGTCTTTCCGGGTTTCAACTTCTTTATTGCGTCTCTGACCTCATCTGCTGTTACTGGTTCGTTGAGGGATATCTTTTCTTCCTCTGACAGTTCTTCATTCCCATTCCCTTCTAGGTATCTTTCAATCTCACCTATGTCTTCACCCTCTTTCTTTTTATACAGGTTTTCATAATATTGAAGAGACTTGCCCTTTATCTCGTTAGGGTCCTCTATTATTTGATCGTCAAGTTTAATTTTGTTAATCACCATTTGCCTTTTCTTTTTCCTTAGTTGCCACGCTAGGAGCTTGCCAGTTTTGTTTGCTGATTCGAAGAACTTCTGTTTCATCCTCTTTATACCCCATTCTATCTCCTGGTTCAGCAATGTTGAATATTGAGTTTGTAATAATTTATAAATTTGCTTAAGCCTCTCATCCCCCGGGTTTGTTGTTAATTTATCCTCTATTTCTTTTAATTGTTTAGTTAGCTCTTTCTTCTTTACCTCTCTTAAGTTCTTCCTATATTTGTTCTGTTGAATCAGGAACCCTCTGAGGACTGCTTTACTAGCGTCCCAGACCACATTGATTTTAGTTTCGTTATAAAGGTTGAGCTCCAGGTAATCTTTTAAAGTATTCTTTGCTTGATCTACAATCTCATCCTGTTCCAATAGATAGTCGTTCATTCTCCATCGGTATGGACCTGATGGTGAATGCTTTATCTCCAGGAGGATTGGGTTATGATCCGATAGTGTTCTAGGTTCAATTATGCATCTCCCTGGTCTTAAGGAGAGCTCTCTGGAGACCCAGATTTGGTCGATTCTGCCCCAGCTCTGGTGAACTCCAGAGAAGTATGTAAACTGTTTTTCTGTTAAGTTTTTAAACCTCCAAATATCAATTAAATCTAGGTTTTCTTGGAGATCGTCAAAAGTTTTGGGGAGTTTCCCCTGTTTCCCCCTCTTTCTTTTTTCACTTCTATCCAATTTGGGGTCAGGGACTCCATTCAAATCTCCTAGTAAGATTAGATTATGGTTTTCTAATTCTAGCAGTATTTGTTCCAGTTTTTTGAAAAACTCAGCTTTATTTGTGTTAGGGGCGTATACCGATACAACATTAAGTTTTTCCCCTTGATAGGTAATTTGGATCCCAAGGATCCTCCCCTCCTCATCTCTACATATTGTTTTGGGTTCCAGTTTTTCTTTAGCATATATGACCAACCCTCTCTTTTTGTTCACCGCGGAGTTAATAAACTCCATTCCCAGCTTCTTATTAATCAATATACGCTTGTGTTTTTTGGCCACATGGGTTTCCTGGCAGCAGACCACATCACATTTTTTATTTCTCAAAACTTTCTCTATTTTATTTCTTTTTAGTTTCTCATTTAGACCGTTAACATTCCAAGTTAAAAAAGTTAAGGACATTGTTGGGGTAAAACGTTGCGTTTGTATCTACTTTCAATTCTTTATTTCCTCCTCTTCCTCTGATTCCTCTTCTTGCGTGCCCCTTTCCCCCTCTTCTTCCTCTCCTTCTCCCTCCCCCCCTCTCAGTAGCCTCTCCCTCCCCCCCCCTCACTTCCACCTTCTTTGGCATCCTTTCTATCTATTGCTCCAATCTCCTTTTTGCTAAGCTCCTTCTCGTATCTCCTCAGGAACTTCTCTATGTCTGAGGAACTGGTCAGTCTAAATCTCTTGTCTTTAAAAAAGAAGGCAATTCCCTCAGGGAATTCCCATCTAAATTGGATATTATTCCTTCTCAGGACGCCTGTTATGTGTCTATATCCCTCCCTCTTACGCAGTAGCCTGACCGGGATCTCTTTCAAGACAATTATTGGTCTGCCGCCTATTATTAATTTTTTATGATAGCTTGTTTTGAGTATCAAATTTCTCATTCCCATTGAATTAAACATTACCACACAATCTCCAATGGGTCTCTTAAGCTTATTCTGGTATGTTCTTGCTTTGATCCTAAAGGCGTTTTCTATCGTGTAAGCTACCTCCTCTTCCTTTACTTCTAACCAATTTGCCAATTCCATAGTTAATTTTTCTTTAATGTTTTCTCTCGCCTCTTCTTCGATACCTCTAAATTTAAGCTGCATTTGCCTTTGTCACATATCATTCATCGCTATATTGTCCCATATCTGCTCCTGTGATTTATTCAACTCTCGCATCTCCTCCTTCATTTTTTCCGTTTCCCTTTTTTGCTCTTTCATGTCTTTCTGAATTCTTTTGTTAGTTTCTTCAAATGACTTGGCTTTAACCGATAATTCTTGAACTTTCTTTCCTAGCTCCTATTGCTCCCTCTATTCTTTTGTCTATCCTTTCCTGCATTTCCTCTAATTTACTTTCTATATTGTTTTCATTCTGCTTAAGTTCCTCTTTGATTTTTAACCACAGAAAGTCCAAGTCCTTAATTTCTTCTTGCCTAGAAACTTTCCTTTCACCCGGGGTTCCCCCTCCCCTTTTCCCATTCTTCCCTTGCATTTTAATCCTGCTTATTCGTTCGGTTTTTCAAAGGTAAGTCTCTCCCCTTTAGGGCTCACAATCTCCTTGTTCTACTCTATACTACTGTCCCAAAGTTTTAAACGGTATGCTCCATGTGAAATAAATAGGACGCATAAAAGGCAGTGCTCGGGGCAGATAAAGGAAAGCATACTGCTTTGTGCATAGCATAGTTAAACTACGGAACTCATGGCCACAGGAGGCAGCGATGGCCATGGAGCTAGATGGCTATAAAAGAAGATTAGACAAATTCATGGAGGAGAGGGTTATCGGTGGCTACTAGCCATCTTGGCAGTGCTCTGCTTCCAAAGTTTGAGGCAGCAATGCTTCTCAATATCAGTCTCTGGAAACCAATGGAAGAGGAATGTTCTCTTATGCTTGCAGGCTTCCCATAGACATCTGATTGGCCACTGTGAGAACAGGTTGCTGGACTAGATGAGCCATTGCCCTGATTCAGTATTGCTCTTTGCACACTCTTATATTTTTATGTACAGTGGTACCTCGGGTTACATACGCTTCAGGTTACATACGCTTCAGGTTACATATGCTTCAGGTTACAGACTCCGCTAACCCAGAAATAGTACCTCGGGTTAAGAACTTTGCTTCAGGATGAGAACAGAAATCGCTCTCCAGTGGCGTGGCAGCAGCAGGAGGCCCCATTAGCTAAAGTGGTGCTTCAGGTTAAGAACAGTTTCAGGTTAAGAACGGACCTCCAGAATGAATTAAGTACTTAACCCAAGGTACCACTGTATAGTAAAATGGCTTTTCTTTTAATTAAAAAAATTATATCCTCTCTATCTTCCTACATCATATTTTACTATTATGTTTGTTCAATTTATTATTATATTTCTATCCCACCTTTCTTTAAAGGAGTTCCATGCAGCATCTGCCACTCTTCTCCCCCTCCCCGTTTTTATCACCATAGCTGGCCCTGTTAGGTAGGCCAGGCTGAGAGATGGTGACTAACCCAAGGTCACCCAAGTGCAGCTTCATGGTCTCCCTGGTGTTAGCCCAACGTCTACACCACACTGGCTCTCAAGGTGGTTTCCAGTTATGAAAATGGTAGCCTAGATGGAGCTAAGTCCATCTGAAAGGCACTTCCAATACTTTCATGAGTAGGACTAGGTATATGCTGTCATTATTGATATCCACCTTGGGATGCTAGAATTGGAAACAGGGGAAGGGGGAGGACTTAAGCTTAGAAGGCAGGATTTGACTTGTCAAGTACACCAGAGTCTAGGGGGCACTTTTTGTGTTGAGTGGTCATGCCTCTGTTAAGGTAGTGTTTACCACTCCTTGAACTTTCACTCCAACTAGCTCAAACACACCATGATGGGTAATGGCCAAGGGAATATGTTGTTGACTGTACCTCTGTAAGTACCTGGTCCATGTCTTCAGGCCTCTTTGACTGAAACTGATCCCAAAAGATCAGGGGAGATGTTGTGTTCAATATTAGAGCTTCAAAAGATACTGTATTTTAATACTTTGTTGGAAGCTGCCCAGAGTGGCTGGGGAAACCCAACCAGATGGGCGGGGTATAAATAATAAATTCTATTCTATTCTATGCTGTTTCCAGGTCCATCTCCAGATGATTATATGAATACTGAATCCAAAAATAGTCTACAAAAATTATAGATGGTCCCCAACCATAGCAGGAATACTTTGATATCATTTGTTTGAATCTGACCTGGCTAGACCTACAGTCAATCTCTGCTTGGGGCTTATTTCTGTGACAAAGACCATCTTAATTTTTGTTGTAGGTCTCCCGAGAGGAAGGTGTCAACTTGGCCAGACAGTATGCCTGCCCTTTCTTTGAGACCTCTGCTGCCTTGCATTTCTACATCGACGATGTTTTTCACAAGCTGGTGAGAGAAATCCGAAAGAGGGAGAAGTCTCTGCCTCCGGCAGATGGGAAGCTGAAGAACAAGGACAGTCTGTGGCAGAAACTGAAAGGATCTTTGAAGAAGAAGAAGGAAATCCCTTCTTGATGGTGATCCCCATGCAGTTAGCTGCTGTTTTTTGGGAACTGCACAGAACAATTCCAGAAGGCATCATCTTATGCAGTCTTATTTTTTCAGGGTCCCTTTTATGCAGCACAAGCCTTCTAACTTTGGATAAGATTCTGTGCAAAGTTGGATACAACCCCTCCTAGTGTGTTAGTAAAGAGAAGGTTGTTTTGCATTTAATATGTTTAGTGGAAAGAAAAATGCACTGTGAATGTCTCTTATTTCATGGACAGCCATGTTCGGGTATCTTATTTATTTATTTCTGAAGATTAATGGTCAACTAAGTCATACACAAAGTTAGACCCATTGAAATCAATAGAATGTAATTCCTTCAGTCCATTTATTATTATTATTATTATTATTATTATTATTATTATTATTATTATTATTCAAGGAGGTCTACTCTGAGCATGGCTAAGGTTGGACGTCAGCCACAATTCATATCCCACTCTTCATCATAAATCGACCTCCGTGTTGGTCACAACATACACCTACATAAAAGCAAACCAATGATACATTCACAAGACAACTACTTTTACTATAAAATCCAGTGTATGGAGCTACTCCATCTATCGTTTGTCTTCACTGCAATGGCCAATGCTGTTAACTCAAAAGACCTGGCGGAAATGAAATGCATTCGCCTGGCACTAGAAACCAACTAACCTTAGCACCAGCTGAACAATGGGGGAAAGACTAATCCAAGCCAAGGTGTCACCATCAAGCTGGTCCTCTCATAAATTCCAGCAGCCCAGGATTGGCTTGGTGGTGGCATATAACCAACAAGGTCTCCTGGCAGAACTCAAAACACTGTGCTGAAGGCATATTATAAGTACTTACAAGGGCTGTTATGAAGTGTTGACTGTCTGTCATCAGGAACCCAGTCAGCATAACCTTATGTCACCAGCAGTTATGTTTACTTTAGGGTCCTATATTTATTTTTGATTGCATGCCACTTGAGGGCCCCAGCCTTGGCTTCTACCATAGATCAGCCAGTTCTTATTCCATTCTTTCATACTCGCCTGCTTCTCTAGGTACTGTGGTTCTTGATTTATAGCCACCCAGCTTCCAAATAATCCATAACACTTAACCTTACCTAATTGGCCAAAGCACACAAAGGTCTTGGTTGGAGCTTCTGCCATAAGTCATAACCCAACTGGGGAACACTTCAGACTGCTGATCCTAATTAGCCAGGATGCCTCCACCAAGGGATGAAAGCAGGGAAGCCTTTATAGACCTGCCGAGGCAAAGATGGCAAAAATTAGCAGTCTTTTCCTCACCAGCATCCGATCTCAGACAGACATGGATAGTTCTGCTACAGCTCCAAAGAGATGACTCACTTTGTGGTCAGTCACCCTGGGATCTGGATATTTGGCCACAACATGCATATATACAATCAGCTGTATATTTTTTTCCAGTGGTGTCCTGTACAAACATTTAATATATGAGCTAGTTCACTCTTTTCCCTAACCCTGGCAGATTCGATTCTTATCTCACTATGAAATCATTATCTCAGCGGGTGGTCATAAAACAGGATGGGATATATGCCCAATTAAGGCATGCCTTTAAATCTAGCCAGGATCTTTATATTGCCCCCATTATCATTGTGCCAGGGCACTTGGAAGGCTTGTTAATCTCATTCTCAGGAGCCTAACCCAAGAAATGATGAGGCATATATCACCAGAGCATCCTTTGCCAACATGGCATCTCACATAGGTTGGGGCCATCAGCCCCTGCTAGCACAGCCGAGCTGGTCCAGATTGATGAGATTTGTAGTCCAAAAACATATTGAGGACACCAGTTTGACAAAGGATGCACTAGAGCAGCACAATGCTAGGAACATGGGTTTTTTTTAAAAAAAAACTTGCTGTATGTAAGGATTTCTTTGTGCTTTTAGAGAGATGTTATGATGGTGATTCTTGCTCTTTCTTTCCTACACAATACGAACATAATATAGAAAGTAGAGCTGTGCATGGCTCCCCCATTCAATTTGGGGTCCTATCCAATGCTTCAGAGTGCCCCAATCCAGGATGAGTGTCAAACCTTTTTTAGAGCTAGGAATGGTCAGGTGCCTGGGATTTTTCCAGTGCTGTGAAACCCATTCTGGGGATCTGGACCAAAAAGCAGTATAGAAATAATTGGATGATCCAAACCAAATCAATGACTTTGCTTAATTAGGGTTCAGAGGCCTAATTAAGCACATGTTCAGGAGCAGGGAGAATGAGACTCATCCAGAGGGCATGTGCTACCCAACTCCTCTCCCCTTTTCACAGTCCCAGATCACTCTGCGTGGACCTGATCTAACCTAGGGCAGACTGAACCCGCTCCACCCAAATCCTGGGTGAACCCAAAACAGCCCAGTTTGGTTCAGGATCTGGGATAGGGCTGGAGCCACTGTATGACTCCATTCAGTAGGTAGGTAGGTAGGTAGGTAGGTAGGTAGGTAGAATTTCGTTTGTTGTGCTTTGTGAAATAAAATTATGGAAGCATGCACAAGAACATACCAAATCATCAGATATTTGAAAACTAAATATAGGAATAAAAGAGATGTAAATTAGGGAAGGGACAAGTTTGCATTCTTGAAATTGAGACTTGCTGCTGCTCCCCACCCCTGGTTTTCGTTTTCGCTTCGTCATAGATGGTTTTGTCACTTGCTATGTTTAATATTTTATCTAAAAGAAACCAGGATGAATGGTGCATGCCATAATAAATGTGGGAAAAGAAGATGGCGACATGTTGTCAGTGCTTATACAGGCTTGCTTGGAGCCCCTGGTTTGCCAGGGCAAAGAGATGAATATAGCCATTCTCCATGTTTTAGGATTATTATTATTTTTTAATGAATCATGTGACTTGGGAATCAAATTCACTGGTGCGGTGTCTCTTTCTTTACTTCTGTGGGTATGGATGAGCCTATCCATTGTGTCACATGGCCTTCAAAATGGCCTGTGCTTAGGCAGTGGCAGCCAACATCTGCGACCCTCCAAATCGTCTACCACTCCCATCATTCCCAGAGTGACTTAACAATCTTTTCCTCTTCGTAGGAACTCTGGGAATTGTAGCTCTATGAGAGGAACAGGGTCTCCTAATATGTGCAAGCCTAGGAAAGGGTGGCACAGATGATGCCCAAAAGGATGGAGCTTAAGAATGTCTAATAGCAACAGTTGCTGATGGGGCTGGAACTTAGGAACCTCCTGCCTCTGGTTCCCCAGGTGGGTTGAATCAGCTTCATAGGGGAAGGAGAGGGGTGGCAGCGTGGTGAACTTATGTAAACAGGGTTAGGATATTCTATGACAGGCATGGCCAAACTTGGCCCTCCAGCTGTTTTGGGACTACAGTTCCCATCATCCCTGACCACTGGTCCTGTTAGCTAGGGATGATGGGAGTTGTAGTCCAAAAACAGCTGGAGGGCCAAGTTTGGCCACCACTGTTCTATGAGAAATATCTGAAAGGAAAGCTCGTTCCTAACTGAGATTGGGGAGGGGAGGAGGAATTCAACCCTTTCTCTTTGTGAGCTAATTTGCTTGTGCTTTGGATCACAACTCAGTGGCCTTGCTCAACAACAGCTGCCATTATTCTTATTAATTGTGATCCCCCCCTCTTTATTTTCCCTCATAATTACTTGACATTCTTCTTTTGTGTATTGTGTATTGCATCTTGTTCGTCCTTGGCAATGGAGTGGACTAAAAGCGCCAAAAGGGGGGGGGGGACACCACCAAAACAAACAGAACGAAAAACAAACTCTGGATTATCAGGTCGACATGTTACTTGGTTACTGTTTGACTGGATGAATAATTGCCTTTCTTTTTAAAATAACAAGGGAGTGCCGCTGAGTTGGTGTGGGATGTCAATTTCCCTTTCGTTTTGGCAAAGGCAAAGTTAAATGCCTGAAACAAATTAAACAAATTGAGGTGAATGTCATGAATTTCAGATTGCATTAATGCAAATCCAATTAGAGCAAATTAAACGATTATCAAATTAAACTCTTTCATTTCAGAGGTGAAACGCTCCGTGTGGGTGAAGTTGATGTAAGAGAGTCCTTTTACTGAAGCATTGTTGGCTGATCTCCCCCAGATGTCTTTCGTAAAATGTCAGGGCTTGGATTCCACTCGTAGTTTTTTTGCCATCTTTCTTTCCCAGTTTCATGCAAACCTACTTTGGGGGACCCATCCATGAACACCTGCAAAGGCCAATCTAACAGACACCGTCTCTCCTCATATAATAGCCATTCATTTCTCATGCATGTGTGGTTGGTTCATAATTTACAAAGATAAATTTATACGCCACTTATGGGAAACTTGTGGCCCTCCAGCTGCAGTTGGACTTCAAAAACCATGAGCCCCAACCAGCTTGGCCAATGGCCAGGGACATCCAGCCCGGACACTGAGGTCCAGCGCTGAGGGCCTTCTGGCGGTTCCCTCTCTGCGAGAAGTGAGGTTACAGGGAACCAGGCAGAGGGCCTTCTCGGTATTGGCACCCGCCCTGTGGAACGCCCTCCCAGCAGATGTCAAGGCAATAAGCAACTATTTTACTTTTAGAAGACATCTGAAGGCAGCCCTGTTTAGGGAAGTTTTTAATGTTTGATGCTGTATTGTTTTTAATGTTCAGTTGGAAGCCGCCCAGAGTGGCTGGGGAAACTCAGCCAGATGGGCGGAGTATAAATAATAAATTATTATTATTATTATTAGGATGATGGGAGCTATAGTCCAACAGTTTCCCATCCCTGTTATAGGCCTACCCCCCTAACGTGATGCAGGAAAACTACAGCAGCCCGTATGGCTGCACTGGAGGGTAGGAACTCAATCTAATGGATTCAAATTACACCAAAGGGATTTTGACGAAACATCAGGAATAACTTTCTGACAAAACAAAAAAAATTCCTTCCAGTAGCACCTTAAAGACCAACTAAGTTAGTTCTTGGTATGAGCTTTCGTGTGCATGCACACTTCTTCAGATACAATAAGTGTGCATTCACACTTCTTTTTCAGTGTATCTGAAGAAGTGTTCATGCACACGAAAGCTCATACCAAGAACTAACTTAGTTGGTCTTTAAGGTGCTACTGGAAGGAATTTTTTTTGTTTTGACTATGGCAGACCAACACGGCTACCTATCTGTAACTTTCTGACAGTGAGAACTGCTGTGACGGTGGAGTGGGCACCCTCAGGAGGTCATGGACTCTCCTTCCATGGGGGTTGGATGACCACCTGTCATGGATGCTTTAGCTGAGATTCCTTCATTGCAAAGGGTTGGACTAAAATGATGACCCTCAGGGTCACTCCCAGTTCTACGTATGATTCTATGACTGGCTTGCCATAAAGCAAAGGGGAGTCCCTCCCCCCGGTAACTGGTTCCAGTTGTCAAGTTGATCTTTCCACTATGAAGCTTCTCCTAATAATCTACTAACATCTGCTCACCCATATTCTAGCTCATCACGTTCTGCCCTCTGAAGTAACAGAGAAAAAGTCTTTGGTTCCCCCCGCTCTATGTGACAGTTCATTGGGTATTAGGTGGCCTTGCACACCCTCAAACATTTCTCCTCCTGGTTTAACACTTCCAGTTCTCCCAACCATTCCTCAACAGACTTGTTTTACATGCTCCTGATGGCCTTGGCTGTCCATTGCTATTTGTCTACATTCTTCTTCAAACTGCAGCGCATCGTGAAGTTGCCCAAACTTTAACCTGCTCCGAAATAAAAATTTGCTTAGCTCATAGCATTTGTGCCCTCAAGGTTTGGGAGACTGGGCAAAGCTTGCAAAACCCGAATTAAAAAATTGAGGGTTACATTTGTGACCTATGCCCACTTTTGGCATCAGCCACCACTGGCATTTGTTCTCTCGGAAGGTTGCTTGTTGTTGAAAATATTGATTTTGCTATGAGTTAGGTCTCTCCCAGAAGGGGATTCATAAACTGAGTGCTGTCAACCACTGCCCCTGCCCCCACAAAAACACACACACACATACACAGATTTTATAATCTGAACCCTATTACTACAGACAATCAGACTTCTTCCATATACTGTCCTGCTATTGTTCTGTGAGTTGGCTCTGATCTGCCTCCTCAGTGGTATTTTAAATAGTTGTGGGGTTGGGGTTTTTTTTTTGGGGGGGGGGGTTTATGGGAAATTGCTGTGTTCCAGCACATATGCAGAATGAATAAATCATGGAGCCAAAAAGGAAGCAGGATGTGATTGTGCAATCACATCAGAAATCCCCTTTGTTCTCTGATTTCATTACTTTGCATATGAACCGGATCACAACCTGTAAGAAAAACACATGCAAACTGTCAAAAAGCCCTGTAGCACACTGTGTTCACACCGTGTTTTCCGAACAAAATCCAAACTAAAAGAGTGATGGATGGGTAATGCAATGGTGCCACTCTGGAGGAAAAGATCAGGAAATTTGGATGGCGGATTAGAGAGAGCAAAGATGTTTCTGTGCTTAACACTTTCAATTGTATAGTTGCCAGGTTGTCATTGTTTTATTTTATTTTATTTTGTTTTGTTTTATTGCCTGCTGCCACATGTCATCGACCTTATTCAGCTAGCTATTGATGTGGCATTTCTGTAAACTCATAAACAGTGAGGCCAGAGTCACATATGCAAATGTGAATCCTGACCACAAAACTGGCAAGAACCAGTGAAGAGAGAACCTAATGGCTGAAAAACTGCTCCATATAAGGTACAAGAAGGATTCTGATAGGTACAGTGAAAAAGATGGATTGAGTAAAGTTGCATTTCAAGGACTGTGGTTGGATGAAGAGATACTGAGATGCTGAGGGGGCAGAAAGTAATTGGGTTAGAGGGTGAAAAGCAAAGATGATGTAGAAAACCACCCTGAGGTTTTTACAAGCAAGCAATAAAATAATTAATATATTCCCTATATACTTTGTGTGCTAACTCCTAGGGCTCTGTCCTGAAATGAATTCCTGAATAAAGTCTGACCGGTTGGGATTTTGGTTTGAATCTCCATACTTAAACCCCCAAGAGAAATTTCTCCCACACTATAAAGTCTTTGAAAAACCACCCTTTCTTCTTTCACAGAAAATCTTACTTTTGTCAAAGATCAAGAAGGGATCCTCAATATTTTCATTTGTGAGGCATGTGTACAAGCATCGTCCTGTTTTCTGCATGGAGAGCGTGGGGTTGTGGGTGGGTTTGTGAGGCATCTGGTTCACACATTCAAAAAGGACACATTGTTAAATCCATACTGATAACTTTTTTTTTTTTTTTACCCAAGAACTTCATCTGAATGTTCAGTGGATGTGAAAGCTTGTGGTTAACTCAGTTTCAATTCACACATTAGTCCAGGATGTGCAGATCACATCAGTTCACAGGAGAATTCACAAAGATCAAATTCCTCAGGTATCTGTATGCATGACACTTCTGTAGCCTCCTCCAATAGTTTTATGATAACACAATCCACTTTTCTCTGGAAACCTTTAACACTGATAGGACTGTATTCAACTAAGTACTACTCAGGGTATACCTACTTAAATGAACGAATCTAAAACAGTCAATTCCAGTAATTTTGATGGAACTACTCTGAGTACAATTAATTTTGGGCACAACTGAAAGCTCCCCATACCATTATTTACCCATAGCCTGGTAGCCCATATCCTTCCTTTAGGTGAAGGCATTTCAGAGCTACCTCAAGCCCTGCTGTCCTCCCCCATCTAGAGGACAATCTAAGATTGATTGCCCTGACTGATGGATTCCAGGAGAGGAATA